ATGTTTTCCTCAACTTGGTCGATTTACATTACGTGATGAAGGTCGAACAGTTGCAGTTGGCAAAGTTCTTAAAATAATTGAGTAAAACTTTATTTGTTTGTTGTTATTTCATATTTATTCTGTTTTATTTTTAAAAAAAAATCAACAAATAAATCTTTTTTTATGCATCTGATATCTAAAAAATAAAAATAAAACATAAAAATCGTTTTTTCTTTTGTTTGCAGATTTTGTTTGTTTTTCTGAATGTTCTTTATACGTTTACTAGTTCCAAGAATAAAATATTATTCTTTATTTCGATTAAAATCAACTGAAATCAATTTAATTGATGAACTTAATAGAATAAAAACAAAAGATTTAATGAAAATATTTAATGAAGAACAAATAGAAAATTTTCATCAATTAAAACGTACATTAGGTGGAAAATTTCATTCTTTAGAACAATTTAAAAATGAATCTAAACTTCAAATTGATTGTAAATATTCTGCAAGTAATATTTATAAAATTTTTTTTCCTTTTCTTTTTTTAATTTTAGTTAATAAATTCTTTGATTATTTATTATTATTGAAAAATCGAAATGACAATCAACAACATCGAATTCATATTGAACCTCGTTTAACATCAAATATTGTTGCTGTAAATGAATTTTCTCAAGAATGAACAAATAAAATTGGATTTTATATAGGATATTGAAAGTGTCTGTAGTCTTGATTATACATCTTCACATATCAATTGGTCTATTGTAAAAACAACAAATGATAAAAACAAATTTCAAGTCAAACAATGGAATACAATTAAAGTTGATCTTGATAAAAAATATCATTTTATTAAAACATTTGATCAAGTTAGTTAATTTAATTTTTCATTTGTTCCAAAAAAAAACAAAAAAAAAAAATTTTTCATTTAAGTTATCCAATGGTCTTTCAACAATTCCATTAAAAGATGCAAATGTTCTTCTTGTTGAAGAAGCAACATATCGTTATTCAAATATTAAATTAGCTACATATATTTCACAATTACAACAAATTCGTGCTATTTTTAATACATTACTTCATTGTCGTACATTATCAAAACGTCCAATTTATCATATATCTGGAAGAGATATTGCTTTACATTTTGGATTATTTATTGGTAATGAACAATCAAGTGCAGAATTTTTTCTCACGAATCTTATATTTAATAATACAGAAAATAATCAAATGATATTATTGGATATAGATCATCAATTAAAAATAAATTTTCATCGAACAACAAAAGGACAAAGAGAACCAATGGCTCAATGTCTTTTAAGAGCTTTAGCCTTTCTTCAATGTGTTAATGAAAAAAAAGATACTTCTTTGCATTCAATAAAATAAAAGATTAATTATATCATTTTTCATTTTTGATTTTTAATCATATAAGATGATCGAATCATGCAAATACAACATATTACTAGAGCTGCAGGTCAACATTTTTATGGATTTGGATCCGATTTTTTCTCTATCAATATCTGGTATTCTTCCATGTACATGAACAAGTGAAGGATCAATGTTTCAGTACTCTCAGAAAAAAGTCAATGTACATTTATTTCTTGTTCTTCACTTTCCCATCATTTGATACTTAATAAATTAAAAGTTTTTGCTTAGTTGAAAAGAGTATTTCCTTAATACAAAAGAAAACTAAACAGTTAATTCAGCAATAGGATCAAAATCTTCAGGTTTATGAAAACGAGATGATACAAGAATATATTCTATGCAATAAATGTGAAGATTTACTTAATTAGAAATCATCTTCTGTTACGAATTTACTATCCAAGTATATTAGTAGTTGTCAAAAAAAAACTATAGTTTCCAATGCTCAAACAAGTTTTTTGCATCTTCAAAAAATGAACCAGCTATTCCAGATTGAGTGAAGCAGGAAATTAAAGTTGCTTACGTTGAATTTGCAGCATTTGACTGTCGACCATTCAAAACAATGAATGATATCGGTTTTAAAAGTCTTACAGAAAAAAATTTTTGGATATTGGCCGATACTTACTCATAAGGAGTCTTGGATCCAGGTTTTTGTGGACTGGTTTCAGATCTGGAAGGACCCGCATGCTCCCTAACGCATATAGCGGTGGAGGTAAGTTTAGAGCAGTTGTAGTTTTAAGATTTCTTCTCAATGATAATAGCTAGCAAGAAGCTGAAAAAATATTTGTGTTGTTGAAAGAATTCTCTATTAGGATTGATAAGCTCTAAGACTCCAACAAAACTGCTTGAATGAGGATCTGTGAAAAACCAAGATCTCCGAAACCAGCTTTCTCACTTCGACTCAAAACTTTTAGGAAAAGATTTTGTTTGGTAGAGCAAAATGAGACATCTCCAATCTCTCCCATACAAGCAGTTTTGCTTTGCTGAAGTGTTTGAGTCTATCAATCCTAAAATACAATAGCTCTAAACTTTTGTCTACCACTATAGATAAACTGATCTGTATTTTGAAGTCAAAATCAAAACAATTGATTCTGTTTATGTCTAATTGAACATACAAGAAGGAAGGTCTTGGAAACTGAATAGGTTGCAGTATAATAGCAACATGTTTTGAGTTTGTAAACAGTGGTCGAAAATTATTTTAAGTCTTATGCTAAGAAAAGTTTTGCTACAATCAGAATCAAGAATGAAACTTTATTGATCGAAATCAACAGTTTATGTCTAATTATGGTCTTATCTGTTCGTTGAAATAATTTACTTATGCTTAAAAATGATCGATTGTATTACATGTAAGAAGAATTAATAATAAAATCATTTAGAATTTAACAGATAAAACTTCTGTATAACTACACAGAGAATTTAAATCAATCAATAAACAGTAAAAGTAATTTTATGTCATATGTGTATATGAAATTAAAAAATAACAGATGAATACTACACGAAAAAATCATTAGTTGTTTTTCATTAAACAAAAATTGTCTTTAAGATCATCTTTCGAAACTTATATGATTAGATAAAATGCATCAGAGACAAGAAAGTGAAACTAACAAAATACAAAATGTGACAGATTAAATGTTAATACTGTAGAATTTGTACTTTTAATTATTTCAAAATCTATAACTGTTTCTACAATATCAACATCTCTTGTTACTGAAAATACAGCCGAAGAGGAGAGAAAACAAAACGAAAGGATGGATTTTACCTACAGAATTAAATAATCAACAATGAATAACTGAATGAACTATCATAACTTAAATAGGTAGTAATCTTTCTCGTGAAGGCAATCAAAAATAGTTTTTGTTTATTTATTTTAATGCTTAGAAGTGTCTGAAAATTTAACAACGAATAAAACGTAATGTAGTCATTGAATTCATACTTCCAAAAGAAACGAAAGGCATTGTTGTTAAATGTGATATTGTAGGACAATGCGAAACACTTGATGTTACATTTTATGGACATGTTGATGCTGGAAAATCAACTATCTGTGCACAACTTGTGTAAATTGTTTTATAAAAACGGTGTGTGGGTATGTGATTCCCTTGACACGTACTCACACTCACATCCTCAAGTCAAAATCTGTTTTTTACTACAAAAAATATTTCTGAATCGATTGATTTTGTTTATAAAATAGATTGCTGTAATTGAACATAAATCAATAATATGTCCTGGTTATTCTGCTGTTCTTCATGTTCATACAGCAGCTGTTGAAGTTCAATTAAAAAAATTAATAACATTAATTGATCGTAAAACAGGTGAAAGAACTCAAGAACATCCACGTTTTATTAAACAAGATCAA